TTGATTTTATTTATTCGTGAGAGACACAGGGAGAGAGGCAGAGGGAGAAGCAGGTTCCCTACAGGGAGCCCGATGTGGTACTCGATCCAGGGATTCTGGGATCACATCCTAAGCAGAAGGCAGATGCTTAACTGCTGAGCCACCCAGGCATCTCTAAAATGCAGGAGGTTTTAGATGAGATCCAGTAATAATAATGATGATGAAAGTAATAATATTTAATAATAATAATACCACTAAAAAAGATTGTAGGCTAGTGATAATGATAAAAGTTAACGTCAACCATACTAAGTATATTGCATAACCTCTTCTTGATTAACTAATTTAATCCTTAGAATCATCTGTGGAGAAAATACAATGTTGTTAATTCCATTTTGAAGATATAAACATTGAGTCATGAAAACATTTGGTAGCTAATTGATATTCTAAGTGAGCATCAGAGATAAGATTATAAATCTATGAAATCTGAGTATTGAGCCCTTATTCTTAATAACTGTATATGCAGCCTTCCAGGAATTAGCTCATGACCATGACACAGAAGAATATGGGTTAAATAAGGGAAGTCATTAGCGATCTGATGTCAAGCAAAGCATTTTTCTTAACTACATGGGGTAGAAATGTCCATTATGGCATTAACTTTTAGAAGAGACAAGATTGTTGAAGAACATGTCTTTGCAACATCAAAGTAAATTAACAATGATAATGTTTTTTTTTAGTCTAATGGTTGGCTAGAATTTTCTTTTTAAATTACAGCTTTAGAGAATTAGAAAGAAAAGTAATATTTGATTTGCATCTACTATGTGCCAAGCACTCTGTTAAGTATTTTCACATTTTTTATCTCATTCTGTCCTCCCAACGGTCCTGCAAGGTAGGTGCTATTAGCTCGGGTTTTATGTCAGAAGGTAGTGAGGTACTGAGAGATAACAATTTTCCAAGGTCACACACAAATAAATATGTTTCAGTAGTACTTAGTAAGAGAGTGATTCATAATTTGTGAAGGCATAGTCTTGACAGCTCCATCTCAAAATATTTAACTCTTACTTGCAATATCTCTTGATATTCTTACAATGTTTTCCTGAAAAGATAAGCACAAATCAGACTTGAATTTCTATCTGGTCACACACTTGTGTTATAATTTTCATAATACTTTATCTTCATTTACTCCTGTTTCCTAAATTTTTAATTTTGCTCATCTGCCCTTCAGTTGTTGAACCAATTAATGATCTATAAAGCCAATAGGGTAAATGTAGCTACAGTATCCACCATCTTAGGTTACCACTAAAATTTAAGAATCATTTGAACTCAATAGTTACAATTTAATTGCTATGTAAGTATGGGTTTGCATACATTTTGTTTTATTAAATCATGGGATCACTGTTGCAATATTTAATAGCACTGGGGCAAAAGGAATTAGAATACAAATATATATGTGGTGGCAAAAAAGGAAGATAAAAATTCTATCATGACTTAAAAGGCTGGAAGGTGACCTCCATTACTTTTTTTAAGGGCCATTTACTGGAAAATTTAGCTTTCTTTGATCTTCTGTGTTTACCCTAAAGGATTTTTAACCTTTGGAAAAAATTAGGAAAGAGTTCCATAATTCTTTTTTAATGAGTTACAAGGAATCTGCTGCCTCATTAGATAAAGGGATTTTGTTTCTTATTCTTCAGAGGCGTGGGGATTTCTCTGAATTATCTGATATTAGGGAGCTTATTCCTTGCGTCTTAAACTTGCCCTGGATACAGAGCCCAAACTCTACATAAAGACTAACTAATTGAGTGACCTAGATTCTTTAACATGATGTATTAGCTTCCTGTGGCTGCTATAACATATTACTACAAACCTGATGGCTTAACATAATAGAAATGTATTCTCTTGCAATTTTGGAGACCAGAAGTCCAAAATCAGTTTTACTGCACTAAAGTCATGATGTCAAAAGGGCTGGTTCTTTCTGAAATCTCAAGTGGAAAATCCATTCCTTGCCTCTTCCAGCTTCTCAAGGTTGCCAGCATTGTCATCATTCCTTCACTTTTGTCAGCATCACTCCATTCTCTGCCTCTGTCATCAGACTGCCTGGTCTCTGATTGCCTCCTTCTTAGGAGAACTACCATGACTACATCAGGCTCCCCCAGAAACCTATCTCAAAACTTTTAACTTAATCATGCCTGCAAAGTCCCTTTTGCCACATAGGATAACATTCACAGTATCCAAGAATTAGGAAGTGGGCATTTTGGGTGAGTGGGCAGGTTTCTATTTAGCTTTTCATGCAGAAAAAAAAAATACAAATAGAGGAATTAATGGAAGGAAAGATCTTTTTAGTAATTCAGTGAAAATAGAGGGATTCATATGCTTCTCCAGTCCTTCAGAAGACAATGACACCCAAATGGTTTTTACTTTCTGCTAAAACTTATTATTGTGATGAGCTTATTTGCTCTATCACTGATGCTATCATCTCTGTGTCTTGCCAAGATGCAGACTAAAATAGATGACAATTCTGTAGAGGTATCAATTACAGAACATGGTGTGTGAATGGTTATAATGGTTACCCGTGACTGTGATGGGTAGGTAAGATGGCAAAACAAAAGCAAATGACAGGAGTTGATCCAACATGGATGGACCTACAGGGTATTTTGCTAAGTGAAATAAGTGAAACAGAGAAAGACAAATACCATGTGATTTTACTTATATGTGGAATCTGAAAAACAAAACAAAAGAATGAATAAAGAAACAAAAACAGTCTCATAAATACAGAAAACAAACTGGTGGTTGCCAGAGGAGAAGGGCTTGGGGGCGGGGGGATGAGTGAAGTAGGTGAAGGGAATTAAGAGGTACAAAGTTTCACTTACAAAATAAATAAGTCATGGGACTAAAAGAAAAGCATAGGGAATATAGTCAATAATATTGTTATAACCTTGTATGATGACAGATAATAGCTACACGTATCCTGTTGAGTATAGGGTAATGTATAGCATTGTGGAATCACCATATTGCACACCTGGAACTAACATAACATTGTATTTTAACTATAATTCAATTTAAAAAAATAGAGGAGTTGAGCTAACACTACTTTTGCAAATCTCAACATTTGATTGTCTAGAATATTATTGTACCAAATACATTTAAATATGTTGTAAAGTCTCATGTTGTGAATATTGGTTATGCTGTGTGATGTTCTACATACTTTTTGTTGGATTTACACTAGTGTGAATGGTATTAATTTAAAATACTATTTAACACTAAATTCAAAAGAAAGTATGTGGGTTTAACAGCTGACTGACTTATTCTGTTCTCCCTTACCCTTGCCTCAAATCTACTTTGAGGAAAAATAACACGAGATACCATATAGAAATACAGAAATAAAGTTCCACCAACCTCTGGGCTCTTCTATATATCACTAGGATTCAGAAACTCAGTGGAAAGTTGGCCATCAACTGCCTTATTTATTTGATTTCTTCTCTTGCCTGCCTCAGGACTGAACATTTCTACACAAAATCCCAGGACACTCTGTAGCCAAACAATTTGCTGAAAATATAGTTCCCTGATCCTGACCCTTTTCACTTGAGAGACACTTCACAAGACAGCAAAACATGTTTAATAAAGAGTTGCTTACAGAATAAATATTGAGAGAAGCATGGAGAAAACTCAGATTGAGAAAAATGTTTGGAGAAAATCTGTAGATTTAAATTGGTGTGCATTTTAAAAATCTAGCTGAGGAGCAGAGAATAGGAAGAGAAATCTAATTGTCATCTGTAAGGACAGTGTATTTTAAAAACTATCCTCATAGCTTATCTTACCTGAATAAGTTGGTACTGTCCTCTGTCTGAACTCATCACTGTTAATAAATGCATTCCTGTTTCCAATTCAATGTAGGTTGTAAGTTTGAATTATAGTTTACATTTTCAAGAACAAAATGCCAATTCTTCAGTTTGAATTAAAATCTTTAAATAAAATATTTCCATCCACTTTCACCATAAGGAGCAAAAAGTGTCATTTAAGATGTACAGTACTTATAGGAACTATATGTTATTCAAATACATTTTTAAGCATAGCTATTCTCTTTTGTGGGTATAGAAAAAAATAACTCTTCAACACAGGAATAAGATAAAGTCTATGTACGAAAAAAAGCAAATCAAGAATAAATAAAATTTATTTTGGGAGAAACAGAAAAATGGTATACATCTGGCAGGAATTGGGCTTTACAGCTGAGACAATGGAATGCATGGTATATAATCTTAGCCAATTAGGAAGACATAATCTTGAGAAACTGGCCTTCTTTGATACTACATATTGCAGAAACTCTAAGAAAGAAATCTCATAGAAGTCTCGGTTACTTAGCAACCACTGACCCATGAGCACAAGTTAGGTCACTAAATCTCATGTGGATTACTGGGAGTCTTAGAGGGGGAATTCTCCAAATATGTCAGATGAGAAGTCATCACCAATATATGGCCTAGCACAGTTAAGAGCATAGTACATATTTTGGGGGAACAATTCTTTCTATTAATAGTTCAATGCTTTAACCTCTCTTTTAAGCAACAGTATTGAGACAAAGTGTTCAGCTCAGTTCACAATATAGGATTAAGTCCCACAATATTTTACAGTAGCCAAAAGAATGGGAAATACAGGTTCCTTGTTTTGCTGGAATCCTTATTAACCCTCTAATGACTAGCTGCAGAAACCCATAGACACGTGAACTCTTGTTAACCACTGATTGACAGATGAGAGTTTGCTTATTAATGTTAAAATCACTATTCACTGAAGCTATGGTCTACAGATGATGGGTGATTGGTGATGCTCAAAGTGGTGATGAGAGATACTTTGAGGAATCAAAATAAACTTATTTTTATAGGAGTGCAAAGATGTCAGCTGCTGTAGCTAAACAACACATTAATAAGATGTTGTGGTGTTGTCTGAGGCAGTGAGAAGGAAGAGAGTCTGGAGAAGCAGCAGACAATCTCCAGGAAAGATATAAAAACTCCGTGGGCCATAGTATCACCATACTTCCACAGCCATCACTGAACATGCAGTCAGGCTCCATGTCTCTTTCAGGCTATTCTGGGAATTGCAGCAGCACATCCTACAGAACTCATTGTTATATCCCAGTAACTCCTTCCATTGCTCTTTGCTCCAGTGATGTAAGCCCTACTCTTGGGCTCTGCTTACCCAGTAGTTACCAAGGAAATCTCTGGCTCCTGGATAACTGCCAAGAAACCTTTGGTGAAGCACCAAGCTGTGAATCTCCTAGCTGTGAGCTCAAGACCTGCACCACAAGTTGTGACCCATCAAACTGCTGTGTGCCCTGCAACTCTCCAACAGCAGGCCAGGTTTGCAGTGCCTGTGAAACTACCAACATTGGACCCAAACCCAGCTGCAGCCCATGCACTCAGAACAAGGGGTATGTATCTAATTGCTACAGACCCAGCCAATGTGCACCTAAAGCCTTCCAGAATTTCAGCAATGGCTTCAAGTGCTTTGGGGAACTTAATTGCTGGTCCAACAGTTTCCAACCCCTAAACCACTGTGGACTGGGTAGTTTCAGGTATAGAGGCTACCGACATCTTCCCTGCATCCCCAGGGCCTTCTCACCATCGTGTTATATTGCCAGAAGCTGCCAATCCCAAAACTATTTAGTGAGAAATTGCCGATACTCAAGTTATGGACCAATGAGCTGCCAACCGCTGAGATATTTTTCTAGAAACTTCCAGTCTCTGAGCTGCATTCCAAGTACCTTTCCTCCTCTGAGGTATTTATGCAGTGGTTGCAGACCTCTGAATTGCTATTAAGCAATGTTTTGCATTTATAGCTACTGGAAATTGGCCCATGGGGCTGATTCTACCAAGTAGTCACCTTCTCTAATATTCTGCTGAATTATTTCATGTGTCTTAAGAATTTTTTTTTATATTAACCTCAAGTACAACTCCAGGACTTATTAACCACAGCCATAATCACTTGCTAGCTTGTTTTCTCTGTTACTCTGTTAATGTCCTTTGTGTTGAGGGCTGATCCTGAAGGTGGTATTGTTTCCAAGATTCCTACAATGGACACACTGAAGAGATTCCACAAAAAATATAAACATCGCCATTTTTTTTTAATGTTGGCTGTTGCTGTCCCTTGTCTGCCAATGGGAGTACCCTCTACGTTCTTGATGAAGAGGGGCCTTTTTGGTTTGAGTGATGATTCCGGCACAGTCTTTCAGATTATTTTGCTTTTTATCAATGGTTTTGTGGACTGCTTAACTAGCATCGTGCTGAGAAGCTAAGAGATAGCATTACTTTAAATATGTTATGTTCAGCTATTGCATCCATCCCCTACTGACTGATTATAAGGATGTGAAAGCAGCAATGTCCAACTACAGCTCAAAATCGGAAGACCTTCAGCAAATCTTCTCTTCCAAAGAAGTCCAAAAGCCCTCAATTGGCTGGTATTTGGCTTTTATTCCCAATGCCTAGGAGAGAGCTCCAGGAGTAGCAGCAGCACAAGAATTATTTGTTGAAGGAATGACAAAATACTCTTATAGATTCTTCATGATTAGTGATGATCTATGTTCATGTTTCTGCTATAATCTTCCCTTGCTGAATTATGCTATCTGATTCTAGAAAAGATTCTAGTTCATAGTTAATAAACAAATTTCTATTGGGAAATAAAGTTTTGCATTGTGCTTATTTCATATTCACCAAAGTTTTATCAATGTTCTAGGCAAAATGCATAGCATTGTAGAAGTACCAGTTTTCTGTCATTTAGTTTAACAGCCTAATTTAAAATATAAAGAAGATAGAATATGAATTCCTAGGACTTGTATTTGTTTTGTTTTGCTCTATTTTTAACACACTGAGTGGCATTTCTCTGAGAGTGTCTGTGATTGATATGCCTATAGAAAAGCTGGGAGAAACATTTATAAAATAAATCAATTTAGTGCAAATTGTATAAAGTATTAAATGTATATATATTTCCCTGCACAATGTGTGTATTTATTGGTTTTGTAGATAAAGTTTGGGCTTTGGAATAGATTTAATATTGAACCCTGAGAGAAATTAACCTCTAAAAAGTTCTCCAAAAAGTGAAAATAAAATCATCCATCTCAGTGGTAAAAAGTAACATCTATACTAAGAATTTTTGTAAATGAAAAGCAAATTATGTTTAAAATCAAATAAAATAGCCTGTGGGGATGGGTGTTAACTGGAAATTGGAAGAATGGAAGATGGTCATCAATATCAGGAGTCTAAAGTTAAAACTCTTGAAGCAGACAAAAGGAGCTGCCATTTTATTTATTCAGTAGGCCTACTATGGATAAGAAACGCTTATAGAGGGGATCCCTGGGTGGCTCAGTGGTTTAGCAGGCGCCTGCCTTGGTCTCAGGGCATGATCCCAGAGTCCCGGGATCTAGTTCCACATCGGTCTCCCTGCATGGAGCCTGCTTCTCCCTCTGCCTGTGTCTCTGCCTCTCTTTCTCTCTCTCTGTGTCTCTCATGAATAAATAAATAAAATCTTAAAAAAAAGAAAGGTGTAATATTAATTTTTAAAAAAGGAATATTAATACATTACTTCTGCTTGAATCTGTCTGTGGACACTCAAGTCACTCCTTTGTGAGTTCATTTCATTTTCAGAGAATTCTATTTGTTGAAAATGTCTTCTTTATATTGACACAAATCAAATTGTTCTTAGCAATCATCCATTGACCATATAGGACCATTTTAATTCCTTTAACATTGAACAGGTGTTCAAGTATTTGAAAATAATTACTGTTGTCCCGACCGAGTATTCAGCTGTCCAAAACTAAACATACACTCTTTCTCTTTACAAACTTTAATAGAAAACCTATTCTTTGAAGCGTCGAATGAGATTCTTTGGGGATATCAAGATTTATAGATCCTCTTCTCAAGGACTATACAGAGGAGTAATATACTGAAACAAACATAATACTGCTTCAACCATTTTGAGTACAATATAAAATGAATCATAAGGAGGACTCTAACAGGAGAATTAGAGAATACTTGGTGGAAGAAATAGCATTGGAGTGACAACTGAATGTGAGCTGACTGGGGTATGAGTATGCAATGAGGAAAAAGGAGAGTGCGGGTAATATATATTCTTAAAAAGAGGCATAGATTAGTTTGACTCAAGGGAAGGAAATAAGATCATCAGTAAGGGAAAAAAACTGGGAGAAGATATAAGACATTGGATTAAATAAATATCTTGGATAGGAAAGAGTTACTTAAAAAGGAATAGACAAATAATAGTTATAAAATAAAAGACTTGTAAATGTGGTTACAACAAGATCAAAAGCTCCTGGTAGCAGGAGACATTATAATGAAATTAAAGCAAAAATGGGGGTGTGGGGGTGAGAGGGAGTCTGAGAACTTTCTGTATTTTCCACTCAAATGTTTTGTAAATCTAAAGCCTAACAAACAGTCCTAGTGGAAAATCAACACACCTCTTATATGTCAGTTATAACCAAATGATAATAATAATAAACTAAACAAACAAAACATACAAACAAAAAAGCAGGATTGAGAGAAAATAGTTATAACCTGCACCATAAAATTATTGCTCAGAATATTTAAGAACTACAAAAAAAGAAAGAAAAGCCCAAGTGACTTAAGAAGAGGTAAAGAATACAAGCAATTAGGGGTGCCTGAGTGGCTCAGTCAGCTATCATTCTGCCTTCAGCTCAGGTCATGATCTCAGGGTGCAGGGATTGAGCCCTGTGTCAGGCTCCCTGCTCAGTGAGTAGTCTGCTTGTCTCTCTCTCACTGCCCCTTACCTCTGCTTATTCTTAAATACCCCTCCCCCTCTTAAATAAAATATTTTTAAAAATATGAGCAATTATTCATAAAAGAAATACAAGTGGCCAGTAAACATATTGAAAAATGTTCCATCAAGTAGTCATTGTAATTACAAATGCAAGACATTATTTTTAATCATCCATTCGGCAAACATTTTAGTTTTGTCAACTCGGAAACATATTCTTACACACTGAAGTTGGTGGTGGAATTTGACAGAGCTGCTATCTATGTGAATATTTAAAATGTACATATTGTATGGCCAGATACTTCCACTTCTTAACGTCCCCCCTACAGAAACATTCTTTAAAGTCCTACAATATTTATTTCAGTACTGCCTGGATACTGAAAAATTCGAAGCAATGGAAAAGTTCACCAAAGGGAAACAAATAAAATGTAGTCATACTAATCAATATTTTACAAGAATTAAAAACAGTGGATCCATATGACACATAAACATGTAGATCCATATGCATTGTATGATGAGATATATTACAAAATAAAAAATAAGATTACAAAAATATAACATGTGACTTTTATGCATAATCTCACACTTATCAATTAACATTTCTTAAAATTATTTATCATCTATGTATCTGATTAGAATAAAAAAATTCTAGAAAAACACAACCTAAGTTATGTTAGCTTTGGGGGAGTTTTAGAAATGGTAGTTGGTGATCTCAAAGTGATTTTTAGACTTAACAGTCCTGCTTTGGTTCCCTAAGTAATTAAATTTGGTCCCATTCTATGGCTTTGTAAAGTATATAATCAACAACTTCTCCTACACTACTATTGTTTTTTTTTAAGATTTTATTTATTCATGAGAGACACACAGAGATAGGCAGAGAAGTAGGCAGAGGGAGAAGCAGGCTTCATGCAGGGAGCCCGATGTGGGACTCGATCTCAGAACCACAGGATCATGTCCTGAACCAAAGGCAGATGCTCAACCGCTGAGCCACCCAGGTGTCCCATCCTACACTACTGTTAATAAAAATATTAATTAGCAAAGTGCTCTATAACACATTGTCTTCTAGAAAACCAGAAAATGCAAAGTCTCATGCATGTCTGTTCAATTTCACTTAGGCATAAAATATGCTTAATAAATAAAATACAATGTCCATAGCTCCGATGGCAGCTAATTTGTAGAATCCAACAAGGTCTTTTTAAATTTGTGCTTAACAGTAGACAAATGAGTTATTTCTTTTCCCATACATTTCACTGCACAGCTGACCAACACTTTTCTGCTTTCCAAATAAAAGGAGAACAACTATTTTTTGTTTAAAAAAACTACTTATAGACTTAAAATATTACTTTCTATAGTTGTAAAAGTTTTACAAATCCAAATATAAATGTCTTTTTTTATGCTAATCTCCCTCTTTCATACACAGCAGTGCAAGGAATACAATAAATTTACATATACATCTATTTTCTAAATGCTATATATCAAACAACTGTATCCTGGAATTTATTTAGTGCTCAATTGACTTAATGGATGATTAAAGTCTCCAGTCTAATTTATATTCTTAAAAGTTTATGTTTAGATGATTAACAATTTACTTTATAACAAAATTTTAGAGAGTTGATGAAGCTACTGCATTTGGCATGCTATTATTAAAGGTCTAAATAAAATTGCATAGTTCCTGTTTGTTTCTATCTACAATCTTAAAACTATAGAATTAGCCAATATCTTTTTGAATCCTTCTTTCATCTACAATATTTTCTAATGGATCAGAAGTAAACCCATATCATTTCTAAGCTCAGTGTAAACATTAATAGATTTTTAAACTTTTGTTCCATTGAGTTTCTCAATTGTGTCTTTCTCTTTGAGTTCTGCATGAAATGCCTATCAATGCTTTCAATATACAGTGGGTATGCTACATATGATTTGTTTAAGAAAAATGGATCTCATCCACCAAGAAGTCTTTGATGAATTAGCAGTCTCACCTGACAGTTCAATTAACCATATTGTCACTCCCAATATCATAGAGAATATCTCAAAACCATGTAACTCTATATTTATTCATAACCACTGACACTGTGCAGTTCATACTAAAATTTCCACCTACACTAGCACCTGCTGAAATTATAGTTTCTAGATTCACTTCCTAAGTGAATCAGAAGTGAAGTGAATCCTTGATCAGATGTGTGTACCTGTTGTCTCAGAGCTAATAAAATTATTTCTTCAAGTATTCACTATGCTCACTATGCTTGCTCTTTTTGTCTGTTATTTTAATGCAATTGACAGGTGGGACTCAGGAAATCACCAAGTTGTGTATCTATAATCAGGTCACTGACAGATGGGAAAAGAATGGAATCTCAGCTCCCACCATTGTTTTCTATGCTTTACCATTTGTAGTCCTGAAATTTCTAGATGATTCTATTTTGACTGCTCTCATTCTAAGGCTTTAAAACTTAAAGGAAATGTTATTCAAAAATATGAAATATTCTTTTAATTAAATATATTACATTATAAATAATTCATAAATTATAATTTAAAAATTTATAATATATAAAATTTATAATATATATTATATATAATATATTAACATATATTACATATGATATATATATATATACCTCTAAGTTTACATTTGGAATCTGATCTAAAAGAATAATGTTAAAATTTCCCTAAAGAATAAAAATTCTAAAATCAGAATGATTTTTTTCAAGAAAGAAAAAATAAAGATTTTTAAGTCCAGAATCCTTTCTTTCAAGAAATAATTATGACAAAGGTAATTATTATTATCATTTATCATTGCTTTTTATTGTAACTGTTTCTCACCTGGAGTGTGGGCCCTGAGACGGGTGGATTAAAAATCATACTACCCCAGAATCTTTTCTTTTTTTTATCAATATGCATCTTCT